GGGGAGAAGGAAAGAAAGAAAAAATGATAGGGGCGGGGGGGGGATTTAAAAAGGGAAAAAAAGAGGAGAAAGGGGAAGGGAAGAATATAAAATAAAATAAAAAGAGAGTTAGTTATATATTTCTCTTTTTCTTTTATGAGGTTGTTGGATTTTTTCCCTTGTGGTACATATCAGGTGCATAAGTAAGGATTAAATGTCTAATTGATTGTATGGTTAAAAGGGTTTGAAATATCTTGAGAGAATAATATTTATGTAGAATACACACACACACACACACACATGCATGGTCAGTTTGTTGGCCCCCATACGCAGCCAAATTTTGTACCTATCTTTCTTTGTGTGTTTTTGAGTATTTTTGTTTTTTGTTTTTGGACCTTAATAGCATTGCAGAAAATATACAAATAATAAGATGTAAGAAAGGGGGTGGGGGGGGAGGTATAATAATAACCTCAAGGTTTTTTTGTTTTGTAGGAGTCATTTTAAAAAAAAATCTTTAAATGTTATTGGTTTAAATAGTCCACACAAAAGAAGATTAGCACAGCACGAAATGTATAAATCTAATGCAGCAATTACTTGTTTTCAAGAAACACACTTTAGTTTAATAGATGCAACTAAGTTTGCATTTACATTTCACATTTACATTGCAGGATTAAGACTGCCTCTACTGACTGTATACCAGACAGATAAAGTATCTCATGCTCTAACTATCGCCCAATATCATTGCTCCCAGTATTGAAATTTTTTTTAGAAATTTGTGTCCATACACAACTATGTATTACCAACAAACTATCTGAACCCTGATCAATCGGGCTTTCGCCAGAATCACTCCACTACAACTGCTCTCTTAAAAGTTTGCAATGACATCCTATCTGGCATGGAACAAGGAGACCTAACTAGAGCTATTTTCCTTGATTTTGCAAAGTCCTTTGACACAGTAGAGCACGACAATCTACTACACAAACTAAAAAAAAAAACTCAGTGTGACGAGACCAATCTCGCCACATTGCATTGGAGAAGCCTGGTTGCTCGCCTGCTGCCTTTGGATTATGGACCGGCAGCTAAAGGGTTAATTTTACTGTGCAGAAGGATTTATTTCTCCCTTTGTGCACAGCCGTTCGGTAGATTCCATCTACCAAACAAACAGTTTATTTTCAGCCTCCCCAGAGCCGTGGGAAGCCGGCCGGCGACCTTAATTGGCCACCCAGAAGCTGGAGTGCGCCCTCCATTTACCTCCCTGAAGCCGCGGTTAACCGCGGCTTAACGAGCGTGTGCCGGCAATTGACCACCCAGTAGCTGCGGTTAACCGCAGCTTAATTGATTGTTACTGGGTGGTCGCGGTTACACTTAGCCGCCACACGATGACGGTGTTCTGGAGCTCCCCGGGCAGCCAGCGCTTTTCTGCCCGGCTTTCATGCACCAAACCCGGACACTTTTACGTGCAGGCACCGCTGAACCTCCAACCCCTGGTTCTAATTCGCACAGATTTAACGAATGCCTGTAAATTCGGTATTTTCTGTTGGAGGAATGTTTTAACCCAGATAGCTATGCCATGGAGCCTATTCGTGGAATTAAAGTCTTTGGCTCCATGGCAATTAAACTGTATTCGTGTGGTCTGAGTGCCATTCACCTAATAATGTGCACTCAGACCTGAGCTATCTGGGGATATGTTACATGTCTGTGTTTTATGTGATAAATGTTACATTATGTATTTTAAAGTGATAGTCTGTCTTTGTGTCCCCACGTGTGTAATGGAGTTTTGCCTTTGTCCTTGGAGATAATTGAATTACTTCTCCAGGGCAGAGGGAGGAAGCCAGGATGCATTGTGGGGATGTTTTACTTCTGTATGTCTGTAATTGGTACATGTCTGTCCCTTGTCACAGTCTCCCATCTGGTCCCCTAGGGGAGTGTCCACCAGGTGGGAGACCTGCATAAAAGCTGGGCAGGTAGCCCTCATTAAACAGACCACTGCTTGACCCTTAACACGGAGCCTTGTCTCGTTCTTGGGGGGATTCACTGTATGCTGTTAGAGACTGATTGCCAGGAGTGTAAGCTGTTCGTCTGCTTTTCCTGTTCGCCTACTAGCAGCTATTCGTATGGTTCCTGTTCGCTTATTTGAAGTGCTACCTTATTCCCTTGTATGCCGTTCGGGAGTTTGGAGCATTCACTTATTGGCGGTTCGTGAGTTTTGGTGATTATTCAGTAGCTGTGCCTGTCTCTGAAAAGGGGATTATCGTCTAAGCGGTTTTTTCCCCTTTTGTGCAAAACGGTCCGTTACACTCAGGTATTGGTGATCGTCTGCTAACTTGGTTACGATCATATGGATCGGATTGCTTGCAATATGTGTCCATTTCTGACAGCGACTCCCTCTGTCTCCCAGTCGTGTGTGGTGTTCCCCAAGGTTCCATTCTCGGCCCTCTACTATTCACATTATTTATAAATGATCTGTTTAATGTCTGCAAACGTA